TAATCCGTACAGACTCTTATTTAATAACCAAATTTCGTTCTTATTAGTGTATTGACTGTGTGGTGCTCTTACATATATTTCCTTATCTAATTTTGCATGTAAGTATGCGGTCTGTATGTCATATTGGAATACGTCCAGATTGAGTGCAGATGCTACTACAAGGGCTGTTTTGACACTCTCTGTTTCTCACTGTGGGTGAATATGTATCAGTATAGTCTTCTGGATATTTTTGTGCATAGCCTTGTGCAACTAGTCTAGCCTTGTATAAGATATTGCCTCCTTCTAAGTTCTTAATTTTATAAATCCACCTGGTACCTATAATTGTTTTATCCTTAGGTGCGATCGCAGGTGTGAATACATTTAATCCTTGTAAACTTTCCATCTCTTTTTCCATAGCTAGTTCCCATTTTTCTCTTTCTTCATGTGGAAGTTTCAATACTTCTTCATATGTATTAGGTGTTATTTGTTCTCCATTCATATGCATTATGTAATCTTTGTATTTATTTGGTATTTGGTTTCTATTGTTTCTAATAGTTCTTTCAGGCTTGCTATGGTTATCATGCAAATATCTAGCTTCCTTTTTTGTTAATGTGTCTGTCTTTATTTTATGCTGACTATTAGTCCAAGTTTTGGTTTTGTTCTTACTTTTGTTAATATTTTGATTTTCTGTTGTTCCTTCCTCGCAAGATATCGTATCTTTACATTTATTAGGAAATATTTCATTAAGGTGCAATTTTGACCAATTGGCCTGTTCATGGAACACAGCTGTTCTGGATACTATAAATTTGTTATTACTATCAATAAATCTGTACCCTTTGGTTCCAGTTTCGTATCCCATGAATCTTAATCTCCTGGATACGTTTTCTCCCTTTCTCCTCAATTGTTTAGGTATGTGTACGTCTGCAGTGACTCCAAATATGTGCATGTGTGATAATTTGGGTTTTCTATTGTACATCACCTCATATGGTGTCTTATTCACAATACTGGACCAGGTTCTATTTTGAGTGTAATTCGAATAATGTAATGCCTCTGACCAAAATTGTTTGCCTAAACCAGCATCCTCTAATGTGCACCTAATCATGGTTTGTAGTGTGGAATTTTTCCTCTCTGCAACTCCATTTTGAAATGCAGAAAAAGGATTGGACGTGAAATGTAACATTCCTCTATCCTTTAACCATTGGGAGAATTCTTTAGACATGAACTCACATCCCCTATCTGTCATAATTTGCTTTATTCTGATATTATGTTGTGTTTCTATACGTTTGTAGAATTCCTTAAATTTCTGAAATGTTTCATCCTTGTGCTTTAATGTGTAAACAAAACCATATCGGCTGTAGTCATCCACTATTGTTAGGAAGTAACGTTTTCTATAGGTAATTGAGGGACTTAATGGACCAACTAAGTCCATGTGTACCAAATCAAAAATACTGTTAGTTGATCTGTTAGATTTTTTTGGTCTGGGACTGGTTTTTAGTTTGGTGGACTTACATACTGAGCATTCCAAATAATTTTCACAATTTTTTATTTTGACACCTTCTGCGTGTTCAGTCATTTTTTGTACTACAGGAAAGCTTGCATGTCCTAACTTCCTGTGTAAGATGTGAGCACACTCATCATGAATTGGCTTACCTATTTTTGGTTTCTTTTCTTTGTATGTATTTTTGTGATCATGAGTTATTCTACACTCATCATTGTCACTGTTACTGACATTTTCATCATCTGCTTCAATACAATCTTCCATATTTGAATCAATGTTATGTAAACATCTTTCTATAGTTATCAGATAGGGTAGACCTCCTTTTATCATTACAGTACCTACATTTGTTTTGTTCTTTTCTATAGTTGCTTTCCCCTTTGAGAAAACTATATTGATATCAGATTCTCTGCTTAATTTTATGGCACTTAGTATGTTGTGAGGTATTTCTGGGATTAATAATACCCCCTCTATTTTCCCTAGACCAGGCAAGGTCACATTTCCTTTGCCTAGTACTTGAACCTTTTCTTGATTAGCTACCTTTATCACAAACTTATCTTCTATAAATGAAGATAATATACTTTTGTTGTTGGTGGTGTGATTTGTTGCACCAGAATCAATAAGCCAATTGTTATTCTCATCCTGCTGTGTTCTGGTGCTGTCTTGTTTATTTAGCCCATTCAGTGACCCAGATTTCCTCTCTTTTGAATTTTCTCTACCCCCTCTACCTTCTTTGTAATTTGGTGGGCTTCTATATTTGTGTCTATCTGTGGAAGATTGTCTGTAATTATATTTGCTCCTATATTCTGGTCTATGTCTCTCTCTTGAGACTTTGGGGCAGTCTCTTCTACTATGTTCCCTGGATCCACAATTGTAGCATCTAAAGGCCTCATTATGTTTATCTTGAAAGACTACTTTCCTAAAAGGTTTGTGGTCTGTTTGGTTACTGGATCGATTTTTTCTTGAATTGTCTTCTGCTATCAATTTGTTAGATAGACTTTCTATGGATAAATATCCCAAATTAATGGTATCTAAGTGTGACATAAAGATATCCCATGATGGATCAAGTGAATTGATAATAACACTTTTCATTGTTTGATCTGAAATCACTTCCCCCCTCAATTGTAGCTCAGCTCTTATTTTGTTTAGATTTATCAAATGCTCACTTATAGAAACCCTGGTTTTACTCTAGAGGAAAAGAAATCTTTAGACATTCTTGTGGTTGTAGCTACGCTATCGCTGTGAAATAGATTAAACATGCATTGAATTATTTCTGATACAGTTAGGTTTGGTTTGATGCTATGATACATTGCAGGAGACACGCTAGATATTATTATGAAAAATGCTCTATGATGTAAACAATCTATTTTTAAAGTCCAAGGTCTTCTTGGAGGGCTAGTTATAAAGAATAGTAAATTTTCTTTCATGAAAATAACCTGAAGCTGTTGGTACCACTCTTGTAAATTAATGCCATCAATTCTAAGTTTTGGAAGTCACTGGGTAAGTTACCTACATTATTCTGTCCATTACTTACAACCTGGGGCAGTCCGTGATCTCTCAAGTGCAGGAAATTACAGAACGGCATTGGGATGCTTGCAATGAGTCTGCGCGGTTCTCTGGCCAGTTCAAGTCCTTCTGGGTCGTCTACGTAGTTTCGCCATGCGCGTTGCTCATTTCTTCTTTCTTTCGTGGAAGTTCTCTCCCTTTCAGCTCTCTCGATCCGCTCCTCCTCAGATGAGTCGGTCTCTGGCTCGGTTTTTGGGGTTCTGGTGGTGGTGACGGTTCTTTTCTTCTTTTTGTGTGCGTTGGTATTCGATTTTGTCTGTGGTGTAGGGCGAAATCGGCATGGCTCTCTGGGCTCGGGCGTCGTCGCTTTCGAAGTCAGGATGGGAGCGTGCAGGTCTTGAGTCGCCGGTTTGATTTCTTGCTTCTTCGTAGATGTCTTGGTAATTTTCAGTCTTGGCCCAAAAGCAGCAAAAAGCGTTTTCATTGCTGATTTTACTTGAGATTTTGTTAAATCGTCTTCACTTTCTGATTTTGGATCATCTGAAGAGTTTGAGACTTCTTTCTCACTTTCTTCGTCTGATAGTGTTTTTCGCGCCAGAAATTTTGAACTGAGCGTTTTGATTGGCTCTGCTCCATTCTCTTTTGAAGTTCGTTGAAACCAAGATGGCTGCCATTCAAAATTTCGCGCGGGATCACATCTTTTCTTTTTAACAACTATTTTCTCAGTAGTCATCTCACTTACGATTTTTTGATCTTTGGGTTTTTTTTTAATGACTTTTTTCTCTCTCGCTGCTCCGCTGTTCTTCAGCATCTCCTGGAGGTCCGCGATGAGACTTTCATCATTCTTTTGGCTTTTTAGTATCTTTAATATCTCTGATCTGAGTTCGTTATTTTCTATTTCGATTTCTTTCTGGTCATTATTTTCACTCATTAGTTCTTCTTCTTCAGTGGTGTATTCTTCGGATTCTCTCGAAATCGCATTGGTGGATTCGTTGATCATCTCTTGATCAGTTTCTATTTCTTTGCTGTAGGCCCTGGTGTTGGGCCTATCTTTCTTGGACATTTTTAATTACTTATTGAGTCAATTAACCATCCTCTGCTACCAGCTTGTTGCAATATTTTCAGGATCAGACTCAATAAAGATAATAGGAGTTAGAGCTTTAAATATATTTCTTTTTAATTATGATAGGCATTCTATATTCACTGAATATTCAAGGTAGAAGCGACGAGAATGGTGAGGGTGGCTCCTTATATATACAAGGGGTGGAGCTAGGAATGGGACTGGTAAGTTATGAATACATTAAAGTCCAAAATAATAAGTTAACCTCTGATGTTCCATATATACATTATTTACACATTGGAGAATAAGGCATTTACATCTGACACATCCAAACCCACATGCTCTCTAATGAGAGTGATGCTTGCTTGTTCTGCCAAGATGGATTGCAGGTAGCCTATCATCTGACAGAATTTAAAATTAGGAGGATTAGACTTGTCAATTCCTGAGTGAAATGACCTAGTCCTTTTCAACTTGGGCTACTTTTAAGATATATGAAGTTAGGCAGATCGAATCTTCACTAGGCTCATGGTTGACTCAGCCTTCCATCCTTCCGAGTTGGGTAAAATGAGGACCCAGATTGTTGGGGACAAGATGTTGACTCTGTAAACCGCTTAGAGAGGGTTTGTAAAGCACTGTAAAGTAGTATACAAGTTCTATTGCTATTGCTATATGAACTTCAACTCCCAGAATCCCTCAGGCAGCATGCGTTAATTGGAGAATTCTGGGAGTTGGAGTCCTTCACATCTTAAAGTTAGGCAAGTTGAAAATCGTTATCATGGACAAAATGAAGGTCGCAGTTAAACCCTAGCCCCCATTCAGGCCAGTAAATCCGAAAGCACTGCAACCGTAACCTGTGGATCTCCATGGGCTGAGGAGAAACTTTGAAATCTCCCCCCTCCCGCCGCCGCCTTTTTGGTCTCGCCAAAGAGGGCCGGGCCGCCAGTAGGCGCTTCCTCCTCGCCTTCCTTTCGCGTGAGTTTAAATGTAGCGCAGAAGTAAGTGCAGAGCGAAGGATCCCGAGCGGAGGAGGAGGAGGAGAAAGGGAGGAGTCGCTTCAGCCACTGTTTTGACTGAACTTGAGGAGACGCGCCGAAAGGCCTCGGAGAAGACTGACGAGCGCCGTGAGGGCATGAAAGAAGGTGAGGGGAGCCTGTGAGCAGCTCGGCGGGGTCTGACCTGAACCCGCGAGCGGACGGTTGGGGGAATGAGGGTTCTGGAGAAGCGCCAAACCGTGAGTGGGACTGCGAGCGGGGAAAGACTTCGGAGTAGTGGTGGTGGTGAGGGAGTTCCCCTTGTCCGCGGCCCTAGTTCTCCAGGGCCCCTTTCGCTGAAGAAGAGTCGTTATTTCTCTGCTTGTTTTTCTGACCTCCCCTTAACTTTCGCTCTCCAGCCCGCCAGCTTCTGGGGACTGGACCTCTTAGAGAGTCTTCGGTTTTTTCGGCATAAAAAAAAAACCAAAACCCGCTTTGCACGAAGGCTCAGAGACGGAGCTTCGTGCCCTTTAATGGTACCACGCAGAAAAACGCTGGGCGTTGTTGAGTATGAACAAGTAAAATCAATAAAAACTTAACTCTCTTCCGCTGACAATATTTACCATGGAAGAACTAACTATAAAGGACTCGCGACTAGGAGCTCGGGCACAGCTTGCCTTCAAAATATGGGATCTACCCCTATGGAATAGAGGAGTGGATTGGAGTTTTTTTTTTTTTTAACGAATAAATAAATAAATAATGCGAGCATTCGAGTCCCCCCCCCCCAGCCTTTCCTGGGTTTCGCAACCAAAATTATTTCCCAGCCTGTGTTGAAAAATATAGTATTAAAATCTCATTGAGCTGTCGTGAGAAGTGGCAGCAAATATGGGGTTAGTTTTAATTTTTAATATGGTATTGTTTATTGGTTCGATTTATATGCCGCCCTTCTCCGGAGACTCAGGGTGGCTTACAATGCGTTAAGCAATAGCCTTCATACTTTTGTATATTTATACAAAGTCAGCTTATTGCCCCCACAATCTGGGTCCTCATTTTACCTACCTCGAAAGGATGGAAGGCTGAGTCAACCTTGAGCCTGGTGAGATTTGAACTTGCAGTAATTGCAGGCAGCTGGTGCTATTTAACAGCACTGTAGTCTGCTGTGCCACCAAGGCTCTTTATGGTAAATATCAGTGTTATATAACCCATGCAAACCAAAAAGCTCTTTTGGAATTTTTAATGATTTTTAAAAATGGGAAGGGGTCCTGAGAGAAAAAAAGTTTAAGACACTTTGTTTTGAACTGATTCCCTAAAATTTCATGAGATCAATTGAGGTAATAGTGAGATCGTATTTTCCAATATGAGGCAATCCATATGTGTTTCTTTCAAGGACCCTCATCCTAAACTAGAATGGGCAATTAAAGAATCTGTCTGGAACGTACAAAGTGGAGGAGCTTTAAATGAACCCCAATCTCAGCAGGTGTTTTTTTCGTGTTTTTTCCCTCTTTACATTGTAATAATGTGGCAGAATAAGTTCAGCTGTAACAGCACAGTACATTTCCTAATTCTGGAAAAGTGCACCTGAACTTTTAATGTGCCATGATAAGCAGCAGTGAAACTGGGTAGGCTGTTGAGTTTGCTGGTAAACAAAGGGAATGGAGAGAATTGGGGCAAAGGTTTCTTCTAATAAAAATGCAGTATATTGCTGAAAATACTATGGCACATCCTTAATTTGAGCATGTGGCACGTGACTTGGAGACAAAAACCAGAATGTGCACCTTCTTACTTTACAGTAACTGCAATCTACAGATTCATACAATAGCAATACTTTGTGCCCCAGCTAAGGACAAGAGCAATATGGTTATATTGATTATTTGATTCAGATATTTTTATGAATTGCAGCATTTTAATAGTTAAAGCTACTCTGAATAAAGGTAAATGCTTTAAGTTTAAAAGATAGTGTTCGTATTTGACTAAGATGCAGTGTTCTTAGAGGAATAATGTTTTTTTTTCCAGTAACTGCTCCTAGCATTTCTAGATATTTTTTCTGAATTTCTGGATTATAGAAAATTCTGAAACTTTGGGTTACAAAAACATAAAATTTGACATATGCTCCAGGTTTGAAATTAGGAAGAAAATAAGAGAAAATGAATAGTGGGAATTTAATAGTTTTAAACCAGCAAAACATAAAGTCTAATTGGAGGATGCAGAGAATCTGAAATTGTATAATAGAGAAGAGCAGGAGCAGAGCAATAATGAAAAAAGCAGTTTTGGTTAGCCTTTGAAACTCATTAAAAAAATTAGTATAAATTGTTAAAAGAACTAACTGTATTATAGTTGCTAGCCAATTTTCTCTAGCAGTTTTTATAACTTAACATTTATATTAACAGTAGATTGACAGTAAGAAAAAATAGACATATGCAAAAAACAAAGGGAAAAATGAACTTCAAAGACACATGAAAATATATTATCAAAAAACTCTGTTATTCTGCAATTACATTGCACCTTTATGTGTTTATACAAAAATAGATAAAAATAGAAAAATAATGGCACACACAATTCAAATTAACCATTAACCATTGAAATATTTTTCCAGTTAAGGCCTGTAATGATAAAATGCTTATTTAAATATATTTTTGAACCATTGTTGTATATATATACTATATATTTGCAGACTTGATGAAATATGATCTATCACACCTCAGAGGTGTGACTTTTAACTTTTAACTATACCAGCAGAATTAATACTGATTTCTATTTTTTGAAAAGAAAAGCTATTTTATTTGTTAACTTGCAGAAGAGAAAATTTGTAGTCTTGTAAAATTTTAAAGAATTGCAAGGAGTATTGTCTGTTTTTTTGAAGCTACTAATTGTGGATGTAGAGGTCTGATCTACATAGCAATCTTAAAGATGATTAATTATGATGATTATGTGCAATCAAGTAATTTTTGACTCCTACTGACTACAGGTCGTCCTTGAGTTACGAATGTAATAGACCCTGTCCATTCCATCTATAACTCGAGAATTTGTGATAGTGAATCTCGTACCTTGAATGACATCACTCCCTGCTTTCGCCCATTTAATAAGTGGGCGAATGCATGGCTCGTTAAGTGCCCATAAGCTATCTTGGGATGGGGAAGGCCATAAGGGGTCTAGTGAGAGAACAGCCCACCTACTTCAGACCACCCAAGACCTTCTCAACCCACAGATACCTCATTCTCTCCCCCTGGGGCCCCCATAATTGTTCCCCCCCATCCTGTCGCGCTGGGTGACTTACTTTATGAAGATCTGTCTCCTCTTCAGCCTGTTTCTTTTCCTGTTCCCTCCTTTCTCATCAGCAAAGAGCTCGATAAGGCCTTTGGCGCTGAGAAAGCAGCCCCGTAAGGCCACACGTAGCCTTTTGGGGCTGCTTTATTGATGCTGGAGGCCTCGTCAAGCTGATCTCCAGCGAGAAAGCAGCTGCAGAATGCTGCAAGTGGCCTTTCAGGGCTGCTTTCTCATAGGCAAAGCACTTGAGGATTGCGCCCCTGTGGGCTTTGCCAGCCCTTTGCCAGTAGGAACAGGACTTCGGAGGGCTGCGTCCACTCTTCCTAAATTCTACTGGTGCCAACAAAGGCTTTTTGCAAAGGGCTGCAATCAGGAACACAATCTCCCTGCAGGCTTCAGCAAGGAAACGGCAAACAGAAGGAAGTCCTGAAGAACCAAAGCCTTCCCTCCATTTGCAAGTGTCCTGGCCTCAGTTCTCAGAGAATAAAGGCCTAAAGTGCGAGATTACACGAGATCAGTAGCACGAGATATCGTGGTACGTTAGGCCTTTGTTCTCTGCGAATGCAGGCAGAGAAACTGGGACAGGAGAGATCTTTGCAAGATAGGTGAGTTTCCACAGGCAAAGTGCCTGTGAAGACTCGGGGGTGGGAGGAATAGGTGGAATGAATGTTGCAGAGCCTTGTAAGGGTGAACAACTGCTGTGCTGCTACCATATTCATAATTTTGGGATTTGTTCATAAACGCTAGGGGGCACTTATTGCATAACTTTGAACTTTGCTAAGGGAACACTCGTAACCCAGGGATTATCTGTACATAGTTAGATTTTCTCAAAGATGATCTATCCCTTACCTGTTCTTTCAAGTCTACCAACAATGCATTAATTGCCACTGTGATTGAGTCCATATTAAACATTAATAGAATTAAAACAAATTTTAATTATTGTATAAAAAGCTGAACAGTTGGAGGAAATACAAACACACACACACACACACACACACACACACTTTTACATACATACATACATACATACATACATACATACATACATACTTAAGTTACAGAATAATCAGAAGTGGTTAAACTGTTTTCCTAACTAACTTTTCTTCCTGTTTTGTTATGCATAAATGTACATGATGTAAAGACTAAAAGATAAGCAAATTGCAATAATACAAATGTCAAAAATGAAAAATATTATTACTTGCCATAGATCAACATAATGGAAAACCAGTTAACTGATTCTTCTGAAGAAAGTACATTTCAATATCAGAGTTCCTTGCCTTCACTGCCGGTTCCTCCTCTTGATGAATCCCTAACGAAATATCTTGATGCAGGTATGTACATTATGATGCTTTCATTGACTTGAAGATTGCTTTTGATTCTATCTCTAGAATATGGCTGGGGAGGAAATTAGCAATCTTTTCTATAGATCTGTGCCTTCTGTGGCTGATAATAATAAATGAGAACACTTTCATGTTTCTTAACTGTACCATCACAGGAAATCCCACTGCCTTAATCCCTGTATTGAAAGGTATCAGGACTGTATTCTTGCACAATTTAAATTTATTTTTTATATACACTTTGTAGTTAAAAATTCTATTGAAAAATGAGTTTCATCCTATAATATTAAATAACAATTTCATCTCATTCTCTTTATGCTAAGAAACTTTTTTTATTTAGATTTTTTTAAAAAAATTAATATTAAAAATGTTTTAATATTTTTGTAAGTAACTCAAGAGAGTGAACATTCTTAATCCTCTTTCCTCCTCCTATTTTCCCTACAACAGCAGCCTTGTGAGGTGAGCGAGAGCGACTAGCTCAAAATCACCCAGCTGGTTTTCAGGCCTAAGGAGAGACTATAGAATTCAGAGTTTTCAGATTTCTAACTTGGGGCTTTAACCACTAGAAACTGGCCCTGAATGAAATCATTTTGTTATAGTCAAAGATTTGCAGTGGCAAAGCCTGTGAATCCTTGCAACATATTGTTATGAAAAGCTGGAAATTAATTATTTTAAATTTAATTTGGTTTTAATTTCTAACTGTTGTAGCAATTATTGTAAATGGAAAATTAATGGACTAAAATTTTAGTTTTGCCAAACAGAATTTTGTTCCAGCTGTTGCTAAAAGCTGTTAATCTAAAAAGACATGAATGCTCTATAAACAATCCTCTCCAAATTTCTCAGAACTCTTCTCTGTGTTTTGTAATATGTGCCTGACACATTCTTTCATTTGGAACTTGGCCTCATATCTGTAGAATCCTGTATGGGAATTTGCCAATTGAAATGCTGGATAAAACAGGATTTCTGGGGCATGTTCCCATTTCAGTTTTAGAAACATTCAGTTGTTAAAGAGCTAACTGACATACATGTTCAGGTTGCAATGTTTATTTTACAAACCAGTTAAAAAAGAAAAAGCTACAAAAGGCAAATATGATGATTCAGCGGTTAAAGATGCTGAGCTTGTCAGTTGGAAAGCTGACAAACCTGGGTTCAAGACCTGAACACCGCGCAATGGGTGAGCTCCTATTACTTGCCAAGCTCCTGCCTGCCTAGCAGTGCGAAAGCAAGCAAATGCAAGTAGATAAATAGGTATCACTTTGATGGGAAGGTAACAGCTTTCCGTGCACCTTTGGTATATATTCATGCTGGCTACGTGATCATGGAAGCATCTTCAGACAATGCTAGCTTCCTTGGCTAAGAAACAGAGATAAGTCAGATATGACTGGACAGGGGAAACCTTTACCTATATGTCCTGTATCTATTTCTGTTTGAGAGCTAGAAATAAATTCCAAATGATATGCAATCTCTAGAAGTTTTGTTTATTTGAAATTTGTTTTATAATAAAGATGAAGCCTTAATGCAACTTGAAGTAGAGAAGTAAATGTGTTTAAAACATATTTTCAATCATTTATATTGTGCAGTGAAACCTTTCCTAAATCAAGAAGAGTATCAAAGAACTCGAGACATAGTCAGAAGATTTGAGAATGGCATTGGAAAGGAGCTGAATAAAATATTACTTGAAAGGGCTACAGTGAAGAGAAATTGGGTATGCTTTTAAGAAAGCCATTTTTCCCAGTCACTATGTATAGTAATAAGAATATATTGACAGTGTTCACACATTATATAATGTGGGCTTGTTGGTTTGACTTAACATGTTTGTGAACTTGCAATTGACATGTGTAAACCACACTTTATTTATTATAATCCAGCCGCTGTAGTTATTGTAATACTTCAGCAAGCCTTGTCTGAGTAGAATCCTGTCTCGGTTCTAATTCTTATGATACTGAATATCAGAGAAAAAAAAACACATTAGCAGAATCTAATTCAACAGCAAACTTCGCTTTTCTAGATAGTAAATCTCACTAGAAATATTTTCCTTTGAACAGATCTGAAATTATTTTAAATTTTGCTTGATTTCATATGTGTTCTGTAGTGTAGGAAGAAAGGTTGCTATTTGAACATCATATATGTAACATTTCTTTGTTTTACCAAATACTTTGTGCTGTGCTTTTAATGTCAACCATAGGATAGAACCTGAACTTTACAAATAGCCATATTAAGGATCCCTTTTGCTGTTAATTGCTTTTTCTTTTCAGTTGGAAGAATGGTGGCTAAATGTGGCCTATCTAGAAACCCGTTTACCAACACAAATCTATCACAATTTTGGAGGACCAGGCTCTTATATTGAACATTATTGGCCAATTAAAGAAGGGACTCAGATAGAAAGAGCATGCATAAATGTTTGGCACACCTTGAATTTCTGGGAACAAATGAGAAAGTAAGAAATAAAAAATCACAATGTAGTAATTATAGTTATGTATGGATTACTTGTCATGTTATTATGAGTTAATATTGCTAACATCATTTATAAGTTTAGAGTAGAATTTTATATCTGGTTAATTAAGTCTCCAAAAACTCACATTTATTTTTAAGATCTATAAAATTAAACCATTGGGACTCTAATAGGGAAAAAAACCTAAGCACATTACTGCCTTCTTTCAAATTAAAGCTTCTGAAATAAGTGCCACTGTTTTAAGTAAGCATAAGGATAATAGCCTGAGAGAATAGTGGATATTTTTCTTAGAAGATGTTTCACTTCTCATCCAAGAAGCTTGTGACTTGAGTGCCTTGTGTATGTCACATTATATGGAAAGACATCATAGGCCTTTCAGAATATATAGTATTGAAACATACTGAAATATAGCATTTCCTTAGTTCCTGGTTATAAATTTATGCTTATTCATGCAGCTTCAGTAACTTACATGCTAATTACCTTACAGGGAAAAGATGGCTGTACATAAATCTGGCAATAAGCCCCTGGACATGGATCAGTTTCGAATGCTTTTTTGCACTTGCAAGGTGCCAGGCATTGTTCAAGATTCCATTACTAATTATTTTAAAACAGGTAAATGATACTTTTTTCTGAATAAAAGAAAGTGGTTTCAATGTAGTATATATAATGTTTATCTGATACATATGGATCAGGGGTGGGTCCTACTTACCTTTACTACCAGTTCGCGTTGTGTCCGCGCACGCTTTTCTGTGCATGCACAGAAGCTTCTGCTCATGCGCAGATTGCTTCTGACGATGTCTGGGTCAGTGGGCAGAGCCTCCCACCGGTTTTACTATTGGTTCTATAGAACCGGTCCGAACTGGGTGCAGCCCACCACTGATATGGATGATCAACAGGTATATTTATAAACCACATACCTGGGAGTAAAATCTAGTCGAGCTTAGAAACCTTACTAGCAATAGCATTTAGACTTATATACCACTCCATAATGCTTTACAGCAGGCATTGTAAACAAATATAAAATAAGTTTATAGGAAAGCTCTCATTACAGTACAGACAGTACAGTTTGGGCCAAAATCTAGTATGTAGTCTGAATACCTGACAACAAACAAATAGTCTGGTTCCTTAAGATAGCTGTTGTGAAAAATACTAAAAGGGCTGAAGATTTTTTTCACGTTTTCCTTCAATAAAAATGCACAGAAAGGCAATAATATTTGTGGGTGACTAGGCTAGTTGCTTTTACACATTTTACTCTAATCTGTAATGTGGCCCAAAAGTGTGTTGGCTTAATTGGTTCTGTCTTATTCAAGGTGCTATGGAGAGCATTTTAAATGATTATCTTGCTGGCAGTCTTTTTAACAATCTTGCCACTCCATTCCTGTAGTGACTACTGTTCAGTAGAGTGGTGAGTGCCACCTTTTTAGTAACTGCCACCTTTTAACAAGTGGCAGTTGCTAATATCCATTCATGCCATAGATATTAGCTCCCAGAATTGTTGATGGATATGTTTGCAACTGGCCCTATGTATAATCACCAGCACTATGGCAACTAATGCCTCTAACACTGTGGTGAAGAGATTCAGACAGTAAATGAACAGTGAGTCTGTATCAGTAATAATGGGGCCCTCCAACAAATTAAAAATAATATAAAAGCATGTCCCCTTGTTGGTAGAAGCAGTGGACAAACTATACTACTAAAAATATTGTCTTCCTAGTGAAATTAATCTGTGCAGAAAATTAGTCTTAATTTTATTTAATTTTTTAAATCCTTAAAGGTGTATTTGGAACCTCTCACTGAGGATTGAAGGAAACTCATCTAGTGTAGAAAGTTGTTAATCCAAAGGTTTAACTGAAAAGTAGTCAACAAGAAATTTTCCAAAATGATTAGAAAAGGAAGTCTGCAAACCCAGTGTACTAAAGGTGCTGATCAGGGTTTGAGCATAATGGTTATTTTCTCATAGAGCTTTAAACCCACCACAGAGACTTATGCTTTCTTGTGATCTCACGAGGGAGCTGCTGTCAAGAGCACTTACTTGGGGGTGATCTCAAGGCCTTTCCATATGTAATGGGAAATTACTTAGAACCAGTCTGCATGCTGGCTCTTCACTCTGCTGTGGTTGTTGGCTCCACAAACAGTTTGCTATTTCTTCCCAGAAGCCTCTGGTTAAATGTTTTCAAAGAGATCTAGTGCTATAATCATGTATTAATAAGGAGCCCATATAAAACTTGACTTGCACTTCAGAAAGTGCCAGTCATTTGTTACATAGGCAGTTCTGTGAAGAAGCCAGGTATCTTGTTAGTTCAATATAACAAAGCAAAATAGCAAATGAGGACAGTGCTGAGTGACTGAAGGGCAGATGCTATGTACTGCTCCAATAGGAGCTGGGTATAAATCAAACATGCAGCAAAGTTTTTATTGGAATAAGATGGGAATGCCACTTTATATCAGGACAGCTAAATACAAAATTAGGCAGCCTAAGTTATGGGATGTGGATAAAAGACATAATTATATGGATAATTCCTAAAATTGTTAACAAGGCATCTGCCATCAGGAAGATGTGGATAATCACTGAGAAAGATATCTGACATCCCCACCTCCAATGGTTAGAATCTCAACTGCACTGGCACAGAACTTCTTAGAGCTTTGCTTCGAGACCCATCCCTCTTTATGTTATAAACAAAGGGTGTTATTTTATTTTTATATCTGTGTTTCATCCACAGTTCATAAATCTAATATGAATTCAGGTCTGTCATTTTGTAATCTGTGATAAGTATACCATGGAAAATTACACATCACTTGTACAATGATCCATAAACCTATACTTACATTGATGTTATACAATATAACTATGTTACATAATACTACATTGTATAATTATAAATATTGGTTTGCAGGTTAAGAGAGGAAAGTTTGTAAGATAGTCATCTCTATAAATACGCTTCTTTATGTTGCCTTCAAAAAAATTGGTTTGCTTTAACTTAATTACTGTAAGATGTTGTATGTATATTGCGGTACTATTGATGTGGAAATTGTGCATCAATGAAAAAAACAATAGTCAGCTGTTTTGCCCCTTTTGTAAACCTACATGGATCTCCTAAACTTGTTACATAGTAATTATGTCCAACAGTGGTTCCCAATCTTTCTGGCTTGGTGGATCAGTGGGGGAAAAGGGTGGTTCTGTATGAATGGCAGGCGTGTGAGTGACTGTGTGCAGCTCCATTTGTGCAAGCAGTGGCATATATGCCGGCTGCTTGCACAAATGGAGCTGCGAGCGCCCACCACTCATGCAAGTGGAGCTGTGCTTGTGCGCTTGCCCACCACTTGCAGGACTTGGTTCCAAAAGGGCCATGGCTTGAGAGTTGGGAACCCCTGGTCTACAATACTTGGAATCAGACAGGAATATTCATTAAAGGCAATAAAACTTAGCTGTGGGGGGAAAAGATGTATTAAGCACCATTTATAACAGTTTTTCTGAAGAAAAAGTCCTGTTTATATACATGCTAACATTTTTATTATCAGCCAAATTCTGAATTGCATTCAGTTAGTTTTGTTTTTCAATTTATACAGAAGTGCACAAAATGTGAAGCAAGCCATCAGCTACTATGTAAATTATGATACAAGAGCTTATAGTATATTTTGCGGAAATATGCCATAAATTGAAGCATTTTCCATGACTACCAAGTCAATGGGCCAGTCTGATTCTAGTTACTCAACATGGTTTGATAATGACTATAAGGAAAAGAAAAAACAGCTTAGGAAATCACTTAGGAGATACTTAATCAGCCCAAACATGGAATTACAGAAGGAGTATATTACCATAAGGCAGAAATATAAGCAGCTATTGAAGAGAAAAAAGGCCTCCTATATTGACAACTTATGGGCTGGCCTAGAACAGGCAGCAAAGCTGGCCTCACCCACACTATTCTGGTTGGAGGTCTCAAAAATTATTAGAGATAGAAAACTAATAAGTGACCCAAACATTAGTGCAGAAAGATGGGAGAAGCATTTGGCCACGCCAGCAGCAGCGGAAAGCTCCGATAAGCTTATATCCTCTCCGAGCTTGATACAGGAATATGAAGCCTTACCCCAGTGGGAAGAAGTGTCAGTCACGGAGGTGAGGAGTTTAATCTCCTCCCTGAAGACAAACAAAGCTCCAGGACAGGATGCGCTCCCGGCATCGTTATTTAAAGATAACATAGCCTGGTGGGCGCCTATCCTGGCGGGTCTCTTTACTTTTATCAATAGAACAGGGCAAATTCCTGCCAGTTGGCGTTCATCAATAATTATCCCTTTACATAAAAAAGGCTCTAGAGATAACCCAGATAATTTCCGATTAATTAGTCTAATCGATATTTCAGCAAAAATTTATGCTAAACATTTGCTTCATAAATTAGAGGACTGGATAATGAGAAATAACATTCTAGCTGAAGAACAGTCAGGTTTCAGAAGCGGAAGATCTACTATGGATAATTGTTTTGTGCTGGACCATCTAATAACAAAGTTTAAGTTTTGGAAAAAACCACTGTATGTGGCATTCATAGACTTGAAGGCAGCCTTCGACACAATTGATAGACAAATTTTATGGGATAAATTAGAGGCCGTGGGAATTGAAAAAAAATTGTTATATCTAATTAGATTGTTATACACGGAAACCCAAGTAAGAGTTCGAGTGAATAGGACAGGATCGGTAATAAATGCAATCCCAATAAAGAAGGGTGTCAGACAAGGTTGCATCTTAGCCCCAACACTTTTCAACTTATATTTAAATGACCTTCCAAAATGTTTGGAAGATACATCACTCCATGGGCCTAGTATAGGAACAAGACAGGTCAATTGCTTGTTATATGCCGATGATATAATTTTGCTGTCGGCCTCACAGGTGGGGCTACGAAGGTCACACAGGAGGTTGGCAGCATATTGTATAAAAAATCGCTTGACAATTAACAGAGAAATCAAAGGTAATGATATTTAGCAGGCAACAAAGTATGAGGAGATGGGTTTTAAATGGCAGAAGAATAGAACAAGTTCAGTCATTTACTTATTTAGGGCTAGTATTTCAGACAAATGGCAAATGGAATAAGCAGGTAAAAGCCAGAGCTCGGAAGGCCATGGCTCAGATGGCTCAATTAAACAAACTTATTTTAGAGAAAACTCCATCTTCATTAATCCCAGTGCTAAAGGTCTTCCAGGCGAAAATTGAATCAGTATTTACCTATGGGGCAGAAATATGTGGGGTCGGTTAAGTTGCCTGGACTGGAAACTCCTCAAAATAAGTTCCTGAGGAGAATTTTGGCAGTGTCTCTTGGAACCCCAGCATGTGTAGTAAGGGCAGAAACGGGAGTCCATGCGATTGGCATTAGGGCCTTGTTGAAGACTGTTTATTATTGGTTAAGAATAATCGGGGAGGAAGGCAGGTTACCAAAATTAGCGCTAATGGAGCAGATTATCTCAAGTAATAAAAATAACTGGTTATCAAGAGTTCTGAAGCAGGTATCTAGCTCTGGTATCCCTTTAAATTGGCAGCAGTACGATCATAGGCAGATCCGAAATTGGATTGCACAGAGATTTAAGGACATAAGTGCCCAATCGGATATTGCACAGGTGACAGCAGTAAAAGTTTGCCCCTGGTTATCAGCTAATAAACAAATTTTTAAAATAGAAAAATATTTAACCGTGCCTTTATTTCCCGTCATAAGGAGATTTTTTACTAAATTGAGATTAGACCAACTTCAAACAAATATGCTTTAGGGTAGGTATAAGGGTATCCTTGTAAGAGAAAGAGTCTGTTTATGTGGGATGGGGGAAGTTGAAACAATGTCCCATGTAATTTTTGATTGCCCCCTATACTCAGATTTGAGGGAACATCAACTGAGCAGGATCTTTTATACCAGCACCCCTAAGTCTAAAGAGCACTTCTTGCAACATTGTCTGTTAGGTTCTAACTTGCAGTTGGTGAAATGGATTGCCAAATTTGCGGTAAAGTTGATGGAAAAAAGGACAAAGTTGGTGCAGCAGAATGTGGTAGATTGTAGGAAAGACCATTTGATCTAATAATGTAATTTTAATAGTAGTTTTAAGACTGATTGAGTAGATGCAGGGGTGACATAATATAATTTTAATCATATTTAAATTGCATCTCAAATGTATTTTATTCCGATTTCATTTTAGATCGTATTTTATTCTAATTGCATTTTTAATCGTGCGTTATTCCAATTTCATTTAAATTGTTTTACCAAACTTTTGTAATGATTTGTTTCTGGAACTCTGCACTTTGATATGGCCCAAGGGCTAATCAATAAATAAATTCAAATTCAAATTCATTCATCTATATAGCCTGCTGTAATTCTAATAATAGTAAACCATTTGGGGAATTTGTACTAAAAAGTGGTATATAAATGTAATAAATAATGTTACTTATCCTTGCCTAGCAAAGCAAAAACTTGAAGATGATTAATCCTAACTATGCTATGTCTGTTTAATTGAATACAGTGGGATTTAGTTTTTAAATTGGCATATAAAAGCATTGAATTGTATGATGCTGCTGCTTCTGTGTTTTGTTCAAAGCAAGTTTAGTTGAACTTTCAGTACTGCCTTCTAAGTATAAAACTAATTTTATAGCACCCTGAATTTTCAACTGCACTTTCATTTGACCCAGATTGTTGGGGGCAATATGCTGATTCTGTAAACTGCTTAGAAAGGGCTGTAAAGCACTATCAAATGGTATGTAAATCTAAGTGCTATTGCTATTTGTATTTGTATCCAATAATAGTTGTGTTTGCACACAACCGAATCAGAATTTTGAACTTCTTATCAGGGCATTGTGTTCTGTGTATACATCCTGTTTACTCTGTTTGCTACTGTGTCTGTATACATATAGACAAATGCAAGCACATATATGTATACATGCAGATGGAGACATTATGTGCTACACCTGTTTACCCCACATTTAGTGCACATGGTTTTAAAAGATCCTTTTTTGTGGAGTGAAAAACATCTAGCTAAAGATGATATTGTATGGGGAGGACAATGGCTAAAGCTTCTTCCCCACTGCATCTGTTCAGAATCTTTGTTTTAGTTTCATTATTAATAGTTGAAAATCAAGTACATTTTTTCTGCAATCCAGCTGGTGAGCAAGGAAAAAATAGGTAGTCCTCAACTTAGTACTGCAATTGGGTCTGGATTTCTGGCCGTACGTTGTTATAGTTGTAGGTCAAGTCACTCATGTGACCCGATCTGATTTATGATATTTTTTTGCAGTGAATCACCATGATAATTAAGCAAATCCATGGTGGTTGGGTATACTGCAGTCATAAGTGTGAACCCATTCTTCCAAATGGCCATTTTTGCTGTAAACCTGAAAAAACTGCTGCAAATCACAGCCATGTGACCATGGGACCCTGCAACCCAGTTGTAAAGATGAGCCAGTTGCCAAGCACCTGAAATGCAGTCACATGATTATAATTTGTCTATGTGTGCCACATTTTACGACAATCAGAAATGCTTTATGGACTGTAAAACATCTATCCCACTACACAACCAGTCTTAAATTGAGGACTACCTGTAACAGTGTTTCATATGCTTGCAGATAATTACCATCCTGCTAAACAATGAAGATGCAACTGATTTGAGATATAAATCTCCAATATGCTGGCCTGTATGGCTAATAAGAGGAAAAGGTTATTGTTCGTGTCCCATCAACCTAGGAAGCATTTCATGAAGATTATGCAAATTTCTGTATTAATGAATTAAACTTTTTCTTCCAGAGAATGAAGGTGAATGTCCATCTCATGTGATAGTGCTGTGTGAAGGCAGAATTTTTGAATTTGATAGTTTACATGATGGTCATATTCTGAGCCCACCAGAGCTTTTTAGGTATGTTTAGAATACAATCTAAAAACAACCTGCTAATCTACAGCTCTTTCTATACAAATTTGACATTAAATATTTTTATAGTGATATTCCAAATATGCTCTATAGAAAGAAGTAGTCAATGAAGATTGATGTAATTTAAGGGCTTCTCTATAAAACCAAAGAGGGAGATACTGTATATTGAGTTTTGAATTAATATTTATGATTACTTCCATTTATACTTAAGTATTGTTTCTATATATTTTTTACTCATTTTGTGGTAAATACAGATGTCATTCTTGCTATGTTACTGTAATTCAGTGTTTTCTTTTTAGGTCTAATTTATAGCATTTTATAGCTTTGTTTTATTAAATACAATTAAATGTCAATTATACTGTTTTTAATAGTTTTATGTGTCTTGAAAAGTTCATTTCTAGAGCGTCTTTCCTTTCATTGCCTCCCACTCAGTTTATGAGGGGAAAGTGATAAAAGTCAGCTGAGTATTTTGTTTCCCAATTTAAAAAATGAAAGGAATGTAATTATAATTCCCAACTTCCTAAAATAATTCTATGCTGCATTAAACAAGGACACATCTTAAAATCAAGATATTATTTTGTGATTGTTAAACATATTTAATGAATTGAAAGAACCTAAATATGGAAATGAATGGGAGAGAGAATGCTACGTTGTTTGCTGAAACATCATTTTAAATTCAATTTATTTGTGACTGGACTTGCACTTCCCACACTGCAAGTGCTTGTTTCCCCTCCCTTTCAAATTGTCCAAGAGCATAATTACTATCACTTTATTAAGGAAGAATGAGGAAAAATAGTGATCTACTTGGAGAAATAGTGTTGCAGTTAATAAGCTCTTTTATCTTTATTTCATGTATAATATATATGCATACCTCCAACGTTTTTTTATTTTTATAATCTGGGTTTTCTCTGGATAGACTGTCTATTAAAGATTACTATAGCTAATAAAGAACACTAATCTTATCTGTAGTACTTCTAATATTTACTAAATAACTTACAAAAGAGATGAATGTTTAGTTTAATTAATAAGGATCTGGAAACTTAATCATTTTCAGTATTCTGATTTATGTATGCTGGTTTAACAATAAAACAAAAAGGTTTTTCTTACATGATAGTTTGTATTGGAAATGCTAAGTATTTTTAACTTGGTATTTATATTATTTGCAGACAACTTTCCTACATTAAGAAGAAATGTGAGGATGAACCTGAAGGGCCAGGATTGGCTGCCTTAACATCTGAAGAAAGAATCTCATGGGCAAAGGTTTGGACTTTTTTTTAAAAAAAAAAAGACATTTGGTGCAGATTGATGTGTTTTATTTTAATAATTGTTTTGTTTCCCTCTTAGACACGTGATTATCTTATCAGACTTCATCCAAAAAACCTGTCTCTGTTGGAAACAATACAGCGTAGCTTATTTGTAATATGTCTAGATGATTCAAAGCCTCAAGCTACACCTGAAGATTATTCAGAGGTACTTAAAGAATTAAAATCCATGCTATTCTTACTAATCTACTCATTTTTAAGAAAATGATTATATTTAACTGACCTTAATTAGCCTTGTTATGTTATAAAGGAAAAAGATTTGGAGTGATCAAACTGCATAGGTTAACTACACCATGCATCTGGTTTATTCAAAATGTAAATTATAGTGTGTCACAGACAAAATGTGGGGATTATACAACTCCAATGAAAGCATAGCAACATTCCTCCCCAAGCCGCTAGTTTATTAGTCAATAGTAAACACTATGTTTAGAAATACGTCTCCCAATTATATATACATTGGATTGCAATTGAGTAGGAGTGATTTTGCTTTGTTTTCTTTTCTTTTGTCTTTATTTTTTAGCATGGTTATTAAGGCTGTGTAGATTTTAGAGATCAAATCTAAAACACAACACAGCCCTGTTACTATGTAGTATAAAGTTCCTATAAGTAGTTAAAAGTGACAAGAGAGAGAAATCATTGATCAATTAGTAGAGAATAAACTGTAATTTTTTTTAATTGTAATTTTCTGAGATCACATTAGCATTTTCTGGGTCCAGTTTATACTTTTTAAGACAAAGAATACTACTTTATCTTATGCATACATTAAGTATAACAGAAAACAAAAGCCTCCTTGAATGGAGCTTGACTTCTTATGTATGGATATAGTTTTGTCATTTTCTTGACAACAGCATAAAAGTAATTACAGACAGTCCTTCAGTAACAACCGTTCATTCAGCAAATGTTCAAATTTACAGCAGTGCTGAACAAAGGGACTTGAAGATTTATATTCATTGCAGGGTATATGGGCATTGCAGCATCTCTGCAGTCACATGATTATAAATTCAGGCATGCACTCAGTCTGCCTGGACTTAAAACTGCAGGGATGATTTAGTTCCCTTCCACCAATCTCTTCACTATCTCAGCTGCCACCCCCACCCCCACCCCCCAAGCCTACCAGCGCATGCAAAATTGCCATGGCCTTGGAGACCTTGGCCTGTTCCCAGACTGTCAGGTTTGCCTTCTGTCAAGAGGCTTGGGCCTGTTTCCATACCACCACATCTGGAGGCCCCAACCTGCTTTCCAACCCATATCCAAGAGGTCCGGGCCTGCTTTTTATACCATCAGGTTCAGGAAGCTTTGGCTAATTACAAGGCCACTGGTATACCCAATTTGCCCCATTTATCTTTGCAGTTTTTTGCACCTGATGACAGGCATGCCATCTTATGCAAGGCCTGGCCTTTCTGCTAATAGTATAGCCTTTATTGCCATTGTACATCATGTATACAACGAAATTGGTTATGCTGCCTTGTGCCATTTTGCAATGAGGCTCCATTTTTTTTCAATTGTTTGGAAATCTTGGGTGGCTTGCTACAGGGCCCATTAGTATGTGGAAACCTGCTATAGCCTGGGAAGCTCAGTTAATTGCAGACCAGGCCTACTTTCCACCCCATCATGCCCGGGAGACCTTGGCTAGTTATAGGGATCAGCACCTATTTGGATGAGCCTTCTAAACTATAATGAGAATGGTGCCTGCTTGCTGAATGGCTTGAGGCAGTCTTGGTAGTAAGTTCATGCCTTGCATAGCGTGGGCACGCCTATCAGAAACTGCAGAAAATCTGCAAAGTAAGTGGGTCAATTTGCATGTGCTGGTCAGCCCTTTAACCAACTGTGGCCTTCTGGGCCTTGTGGGGGAACAGGTCCCAGGCTTCTCAACCTGCAGCAGTTTCTGCACACCAGTAAGTCTTGTAACTGGCCGAGGCCTCCTGGGCTGTGGTAGGTTTCCTATGCTGATAGGCTCTGTAACATGTGCCAAGCTACCCAGCACCTGCCTCCATCTGCATTTCACCCCCTACAATCCTTACTCAGACTCCATCTGCTTAATGACGCACAAGATTACCCACAACATTTCCCCACAAGTTTTCTGTTTTTTTTTTTTTTTTTTTACAAACATATCAATGCATGAACAGTGTGGCACCTGTCATACATTTTAGTACAAATAAAATATATTATATTTACTACGTTTGACATGTTTATATAGTTCTAGTAATACACATATTTATGTTAATCTTTCATTATTTAGTTATTTCAAAAATATGTTCAATGTTATTTTTATGCCAATCACCATATTCTGAGTGTCATTCTTTTTAATCCAAATAAAACATTATTAATCATATTTTCTAATGTATCCCCCCCTCTCAAAAAAAAAGCCTTGGTATTCTAAATGGGCTTCTAGAGCATTAAGAGAGTACTGTTGGCTGCCAGGCTGCAATGTTGCATCCCTAGTTGGTATCTAGAGACAGCCATTTTAAAAGCAGCAATCAAATTGAAGATGGTATAGGAGATAGTATTGGAGGTGAGGAACCCCAATGGTAGGTGGAGATCTTGCACTCACACTTCCTCCTGCAGTGATGCCAGAAGACATGAGAAGTAGGGTATCCCAGTGAGCATTTTTCAGTCTTTGAAAGGCAAATGTGGCAATTTTTTCTTTCAGAACTAATAATGCCAATTCTTGATTTAGATCACCAGATTGGCACTCGCAGGGAATCCAACATTGCGGTGGGGAGACAAATCCTATAACTTCATTGCCTTCTCAAATGGTTGCTTTGCATCAAACTGTGATGTGAGTTTGTATCTTTCACGTTTCTCATTTTGTTTGTTTTGTTTATACAGAAACATTACAAGCAGCAATTTTAAGAAATATCTGCTTTTAATGCAGCAATTAATATATTTATAAATAGCAACTTAAAAAGAATTTGTTTATTTTGTTACTGTGCTACACTTTAAATTACTAGATAAGAAATATTGACCTAACAAAATTATGAGCAACCCTTCTAGAAAAAGATCATTGAAGATAGGCCACATGTGGAACCTGAGTGGCGTAGGAGGCTAATGCCTCCTACTAAGGCAGCATTTAACATCCAGCTGCCTGCAATTACTGTGAGTTCAATTCTCACCAGGCTCAAGGTCGACTCAGCCTTCCATCCTTTCTAAGGTGGGTAAAATGAGGACCCGGTTTGTGGGGGCAATAAGCTGACTTTGTATAAAATATACAAAAGTATGAAGGCTATTGCTTAATGCATTGTAAGCCGCCCTGAGTTGGCATATAAAAATAAATAAAAATAAAAAATAAAAATGTGATATGCTGCTGGATTACAATTCTTAACAGGCCCACCCAGCTTGACTAGCAGTATTATAAATTATCTATGGTTGTAAAAAATAAAATGTGATGTTGATTCAAATATTTATTGCTCCATCGAGTAATGTTTATTTTATATATATCTTCCAGCATGCTCCTTTTGATGCCATGGTTTTGGTGTACCTCTGTTCTTACATTGATTCCAAGGTTTTTGAAACAGAAGGGAAATGGAAGGTATGCTGTTAATTGTATTTCAATCCTTTTCCGATTGATACAACTCCCCTCCGGTGTCAGATAAATTAAATGGTTCTCTTTTTATTTCATACAAAACAGGGATCAGACAAAGTACGCAATATTCCTTTGCCGGAGGAGCTTGTGTTTAATTTCGATCAGAAGGTTCTAAATGATATTGCTTGTGCAAAGAACAAATATTACAAGCAGGTATGCATATAAATTTTTGGATGTCATATATTTGTGCTTGGTGTTAGTGCATTCCTTTTGTTTCCATTATATGACGTGAATGAGGATGAAGCAAAAGAGAAATCTTTTTATGCACAGCTGGTGACTTGTTAATTTGATTTGCCATCTGCTTGCACTGCAGAGCAGGATCCATCCTGAAAGATTTTGTATCAGTTCCTCAAATGTAGGACATGGAGGTAGAACTATGCTTTTTTCATATGTCCTGGTGATAAGCATGATTTAGGATACCAGTTTTGCATTTGTTATAAGCCAAAGGTTTCTGTCAGTAATATGGTAATCATCACTCAGTTTCTAAAGTCTTGAATCTCGAATCTTTGCTAGATGTTATAAGTTCTGTGTAATTCAAAATATAAAATTTCTCTTCATTGGTTCTCTGAAATTTCATTATTTTTCTCTTTTCAGGTATCTGACTTAGAGGTTGTGAATTATGCTTTTACAACTTTTGGGAAAGCACTGATTAAGAGACACCATCTTCATCCTGATACATTTGTCCAGATTGCTCTCCAATTAACCTATTACAGATGTCATGGACAGTAAGAAATGTTTTTTAATATGTATTAAATATTTTTTATTGTATTAAATACATATGGAGTATAATTTATGGAGCCTTTGAAAGTTAACAAATAGATGAAAATTATTTTCTCATCCGTATGCACACTTTACATATTCCTTAGAATTATCAAATCAATGCCTTTTATGTTTCTTCCTTTCTCCTTTATTTGTGTATTATTTTGCAAGTAGTACAGACTTTATCCAAAAATCTAATTTGTTCATTTCTTATCTTTTTGCACTACTTAAATGCATTATTCTTCATGTTTGGATCCATTTATCTAATATTGTTTGTATTGTTATTATATCAATTTTTTTAAAAAAAGTCATTTTAATAATAAGGTATCTTGTGAAGGCCAGATGAAATAAATCATCATTTTTTTAATATAAGGTTCAAAAACTGGAATGGAATGACTTTGTTTCACATTCTTTTTGGTAAAAGTAATTTGCTATATCAACAGACAGTAGGGCTTTTACATATCTATTCTATGAGCAGTTAAAGCAGTTAAGGGATAAATCTATCATTTTTTTTTCTAGCCCTGGTTGCTGTTATGAAACTGCAACAACCAGACAATTTTATCATGGCCGGACAGAAACTATGAGACCATGTACCACTGAAGTAATTGAATGGTGTAAATCCATGCTAGACCCTACAGTCACTGTGAGTATTTTAGTCAGAGATTTTTAAAAATTGTGATCTTATTTTGTGTTTAGTACCAAGACCTATATAACCCACCCACCCTTACTCATATATTTAATAGGAGGTCAAAATCTAGTGGAGATAAATTTCATCTTTCTTTAATGATAAATCATTTCGTAAACTGAATTCATAGTTGTCAGCATAAGAGAAAGTCCAAATACTAAAGGGATCATGTTCAGTATGAAATAAAACTTGCAGGACATTCCTTTTGAAATAAAAAATCTCATGCTCATGGATATTTTAATTCCTCTTTAAAAGTAGTTATATTTTACCATGTTATTTTTGTTAATTAGATTTTTTTACTTGGGGGAATAATGTATTTGCATTAAATTTATTGATTCATATTGGTTGTGCAAGTACAGATTATGTAGATTATACTTGACAAAAAGTAGCTGCTTCCCCTTTCATAGTTTCTAGAAATGTAGAACACAATTTTAGATGTGTATTTGGGACTTGATTACATTACGTACTTCTGGATCATCCTTCACATTTCAAGAGCAGCTTTCCGTAATCTGATGTGGAGCTTCAACTCTCAACAAGAAAGGCCTAGTTGCAGATGGGGGTTATTCAACTGAATCCAATCACCCTCCTTATCTTCTGTGGCAAACAGATGGAAGAGTTAATAATTGAAGCATAGAAGGAACCATTCATCTTGGCTCTTTTTCCTTTTCCTACTGTCTTTTGCTATTTTCTGAAGAAATGTTTAGATATAAGCAGTTTGGGTGGAATAATTATGTTTTTCTTAATTTCTGCAGCAAGGCCAAAGAAAACACCTAATGTTAAAGGCATTTGCAAGACATAATAAACTGATGAAAGAGTGTGAGAATGGAAGAGGTACATTTTTTTAATCTTGCAGAAGCAAAGAGATACATAGCCTCAAAATAGCAAAATAATCTTTCATGTAATAGAAGAGATAATTTTTTTTTAATTTACCTATTGAAAGTAATACTATTGTTTAGTTTTAATTATATTTAAATGACAAATAAGTTTTTTCCAACCCAATATCCTCCTTTAAAAGTATGGCTGTGGGTAAACTTTGATCTAGGCCTAAGTAGTTGTACATCCTGGCATTAGTATCTTTTTTCTTCATAAACTGTGATTTGTTTTCTTACCTCTCCAGCTCTTATTATAACAGTGCTGAGTAGAGTCATAACTCTAATGTACACAATAAGCCCCCAACTGGCATCACATTTCTTCCAGCACAATTCTCAAACCATCCTTTCCACTATTCTCAGTTCAACAGGCTGAATGGAATAAACTCTGTCCAAGTCATTGAACATTTTGTCACAATTAATTTATATTTCTCAAACAGGTTTTGATCGTCATCTCTTTGGCCTCCAACTCTTGGCCAGAGAGCATAGTCTTCCAATGCCAGAACTCTTCTTAGATCCTGCTTTCACCAGAAGGTATTGAAAAACATATTATATTTAGATTTACCCTTGGAATTAAATCATTCTATACCAACTGAACATAAGGTTTTACAGGTTGTCCTCATTTAGCTAAACTGGCTGGGCTTATGATCTTACTTCAGCTTTCCTGTGCTTTATAGACAAAGTTGTAAAAGGTGAGATTGGCGTAAAACTATTTTTTCATCACCATGGTGAACAGTTGCTAAATGATGTAATCACTGAATAGGAACAACCCATATTGGAGTTGAAAAGATAAACAGACAAGTAATTGTTTAATGATGGGACAAACGTTCATTGGTCCAACAGCTTCCAGTGATAAAGAAGTTGCACTTCTTTTAAATTATTATTGTGGAATAAGTAATTCACTTTTTCCTTTAACAAGTGTGCCAGAAATCTTTATAATACATTATCAGTTTGAGCATTGAACCCCATTCATTTATTTCAGTAAAGTTCCTTAATCTTAGCAGGGAAAGCAATTATATTTGTTCACCTTGCTCCTGGGTTGAATCTACATGTCTTATTTTTTACATGCTTTCTTGTTTTTTTCTTTTAATTTGCAGTGGGGGAGGTGGAAATTTTGTTCTTTCAACTAGCCTGGTAGGGTACACAAGAATTGCAGGAGCTGTTGCTCCAATGGTAAAGCATGGTTATGGCTTCTTCTACAGAATTAGAGATGACAGGTAAGAATACCATTAACATTATTTCAAGTAAAAAATTGAAACCTGTTTTCTTTTGCGTTATGTGTCAGTGTGGGAGAGATCAGTACTATATTATTTCAGTAATGAAAACTTGACTTCACAGTTGGCTTTGTAGGCACTCTTAACTGTCTTGTGTAGTTTTAAATATGATTGTTCTTTCTCCTGAAATATCTTATCAATTCTGACAATTATCTGATCTACTCTATCTATTCCTTCACATAACTAACTTAAACTGGTAACTTTCTGTTGTATGAATGTAGCAGAGTGATCAGTTCAGTTTCATTAGGATATCGTGAATTCAGACAGTAGGGTTAACTCCATAACCCATCATCCATATAAATGGACCTATATTTTAGCTTAAAAATTCAGCTTCCTAATCAGGTTTATATACTCCATAGTGCTAAATTCTTTTTTCTTTATTTCTGCTGCTTGTATTAGGAATAACATGCTGGGTAATATTTTGGGGCATAATATCATAATCAAACTTTCTGTGAAATACTGATGATAAGACAAAAGTACTTCACTTTACAACATTTTAAGCCTTTTTTCTCTTAACTTGAAGGTAGTTATTTTTTCATGTTGTTCAAGTTCAACGTGAAACACATCTTGAACAGATTATTTCATTCCCATTTTATAGCATAAATCTACCTACCCATGATTAGCATGTATGATTGTATCTTGTAACATTGTGATTATTTAGGTGCCCAAGACTTTGTGTATACCCAACTGAAATTCTGTGCTGATTTTTTAAAAATTGCATATTTATCTAAACTGTTGTGTTCCATCTTTCCTCTGGTAGGATTGTTGTTGCCTGCAGTGCCTGGAAGTCATGTCCAGACACAGATGCTGAAAATTTATCTAAGGAATTGTTCCGGTCTTTTCAAGACATAATAAAAATGATGTCCACAGCCCAGATGTAGAAAATATATTGAAGCTCCAGTGCCATTTTTTTTTTTTTTACAATACCATATCTATTGAAATTGATTGAAAATATTGAAAAATTTGAATATGAAAGCTTTACTTAAAAGGAATGATTGAAGTGGACATGGTATTTGACAGTTAGGCATAAATCATGCAAAATTCTACTGCAATAACAATGCAATTTTCCTTGAATAATCTGCAGCTGCAATGCAAAATATGATTAGAACTATGCAATGATAAACTAAACTTCTAAAATGCAAGATTTATTGAATTTTTCTATAGGAAAAAAGTTAGTTACGTAATCTTACTAGCAATAAAGAATGCAAAATCATGTTCATATGAATTCAATGTTTTGAGTTGGTGTTTTCAGAAATACACTGGGGAAAACTTGCTTTTGTTTACTATAATGGAAAGTTGTATTTTGAGCAACCATTGGAGCAATCATGTTTTTGTTCTATATGAAATGTGTATCATTGCTTTTTCTTGCCTTCAAAAGTAATCAAAGAAAAAGTATTAAAATACTTATGAATTTATTTCAGGTAACTTGGGGTTGTTCTTGTGTTTCATTCAAAGGCTTCTCTATAAACTGGAAGAAATTATAATTAAAGATACTGTATTTTCTTGCCATTTCAAATGTATAATTCAGTATGATTCTCAGGACAACATGCATTCTTTGTATCATAAATGAGAAACTCTATGAATAATGCAATTTATTCTTGAAATAAAGCCATTCCAAAGAGCAAAAACGTGAATATTATTCATCTATGCTTACTTACATTGTTCCATTATGATGGGAGGGCAGGTGTATTCTTAATTATTCTACCACGCAAGATACCATAGTTAACAAGCATTCAAAAGTCTTTGAAAGAATGAACACCGAAGAGTAGTATACCTTAAAATTCAGTTGATTTCAAACTGAAGGAAATCAGTATAATATTAATGTAACTAACTAGTTTGGCAATCCTTAACGTTAACATATTAGCCTGCATACTGGATTCCAGGCTGCAGGACTTTTCAGCTAATGTGGAGCTTCCTTTTCTTCTTTCCCTGTAGAGGGATGAATTGTGATTTGGTATAAGTTGTTAAAAGGAGGCCAAAGTATTCTGCTTTCCTTAGTACATGTCCATTTTAATTGCAGGTCTGTTTATTTTTGCACTCTGCACATCTGTTATTACAGTTTTGAATAGCCACTAGTACATAACACAGTAAAAGGTTTTTTTTTAAATAATATTTGGATTGTTGCAGTGCCAGTTAGTAAGAAAAATGAATGGCCCAGCTGGTTTCCATGCCTCAGGGAGGACCAATCCTGGGTTATCTCAATCTGAACTCAGCACCTTTACCACTACACCATGCTGAAAGGCAGTTTGTATGCTTGCAGTTATGTTGGGTTTTCATTTCTAAAGACAAGAATTCTTCCTTACTTATAAAGTTAGATAACATTCATAGGGTTAAGGCAGAAATTATTAAAAAATCCAGGATTCTTTTTGCAGAGTTGTTGGTGTCACTCGGCCTTCCCAGCAAAAAAAAAAATGGAGGGGTATTTGCTATGCATTTTAATTCCAGAAGACAGGATAGGAATCTAACAAAAGTCATTATGATTTTGCCATGTGGCAGAAGAGAAATCAAGTCAATAGAATATATACTTGGATTTTATTTTTTATTTACTTATTGCATCTGTTTCTGAGATGACGAAAAGGTGTTCAGATGTTTGTGTAATTCTGTAAGAACATCTAGCTGATCCTGTGGAAGACAATCATCTATGCACAGTAGTGTGTTGAAATAACTTTAGAAAATGTAGGTGGTAAGTGTAGATAAATCCTAGTCTTTGTAGTCTACTAGATCGTTGTTTAATTTCTAATCTTAAATTCACTAATCAACTGCTTGATAATCTGTTGATGACCCAGATTGTGCCATCGTGTAAATTCCTCACTTTGTACACATTCAAAAGGTATTGTATAATATGTATACTAGTATACATGGAAAGTATACTATACTATACTTTATTTGTCTTTTCTAAAATGTTTCCATATTATATTATAGTATAGTATAGTATACTATAATATAATATGGAAACATTTTAGAAAAGACAAATTATTTATTATTCTCTGGTAGATTAAACACGATGGAACAAAGTGCATGAGCCAGATATGTTCTAATTTTAAGCATTACACAATAGTGATAGGTAATGAGAAACAGCTATGAGAATACTCTTCTTACAATAGGTTGTGTTTGGCTGGATCACAATGTAGTGAAACACACAGGATTTATCTTCACATCTAATTTCTAACCCTTGCTAAATTTCTTACTAAATTTTGTAGAGATTTAAATCATTAGACTTTGTACTAATGTCACTTGTACCTAATCACGTGTAAGAAGATATAACAGCTAATGACACTTTTTCTTTCACTGGCCATGATCATTATTACTGGGTTTAACTACAAATAGCTGTTATATACAATCCAGAAACCAATTCTAGGCCCAGATTCACTGTGACAGTGCGAGTTTAGTGTGATAATACACCATTGTATCTCCAATACGGAGCATGTTATAGGTAGTCCTCGACTTACAACAATTTATTTAGTGACTATTCTTATTTTTCACACAGTTGCAGCATCCCCATGGTCACATGATCAAAATTCAGATGCTTGGCAACTGACTCATATTTATGATGGTTGCAGTGTCTTGGGGTCATGTGATCTCAAGCAGAATTAATGGGGAAGCCGGATTCATGTAACATCCGTGTTACTAACTTAACTGAATGGATTCACTTAACCACTGTGACAAAGGTTGCAAAATCGTACAAAACTCACTTTAATAATTGACTTAGCAACAGAAATTTTGGGCTCAATTGTGGTCTTAAATTGACTACCTGTACTTTTCTATAATTTATAATGACCAAATTGGCTACTCTAGAAACAAAAGAAGAAAAAAACACGACCCAAATCTGACACCAAAGAACAATGGGGAAACTTTTCAACACTATCATGCTCTCAAAATGGCTATCCTATAGAAGTGGAATTATAAATACTATGAAATGGCACAGCTAGAATTCGTTAAGAAGCTTATAATTAGCAGACTTAACAATATTTCTTGCAAAATAAACTGAGATTATAAGAACTTCATAAATGCAAAATTGTGCTTCATCCAATTATTTTATTAATAATTAATTAATCTGTCATTGTCACCATGTTTAACCTGTTGTTCAATATCCCACTCTCATTAAATACTGCTTTTACCAGCAATAATCAGTGTCTGTTTATTATAGTGCTATTCTCTCAGAATTATGTTCCACACGTCTGATAAAGCAGACAGTGATCACAAAGGGTTATGTTATTTATAAATGATTGAGACTTTAAAGTGCCACAAGACTCATTGGAATGGTGAAAACAAGTTATGTATTAAGATACAAAATGTATTGTAAACAAGTACAATCAGTGTCATAATGATTAAAATGAAATTGTTACAGATTAAGTTTTAGGCCGGAACATTAACATTAATAACATTCGAAAGTACCATGAGCCTACTTGAAGGTGAAGTGTTTAAGGAAATTCTACATTCCATATTTCTGGATCAGTTCATTTGCTTTAGAAATATAGGCTTTCATAGCATCATCTTTGGATATACCTGGAATGGAAAATTAGCAGTTACTACGATGTCTTACTTTTTATCGGGGGGGGGGGGGGGGGGGGACGGGACGGGACGGGACACGACATCCCTAGTATTATTTACAGTAAAACTAACCTTTCTTCAGATTCCAAGCCTCCCATTTGGTTCTGCCTTTCAAATCCGATGCCCCAGGGCACTCTGTTGAAGGAGAAAATATAATCATTAAACCTGTCTTCTTGAAAAGGGCTCTCATACTCACTTTTTCCTAGCTGTTTATTAAGTACCAGTGTTGTTGTCTCCTACAGTGGCCTGTTTGTAGAGTCCATACAGTTCCTTTAATTCATCATCGGTGGGCTTGGATTTTAATTTTGTAACCTTTACCGCAGCAGTCTCGAAGTCAGTCTGATGAGAAAATAAAACAACAATCATTAAAGAAACACACCGTTATTTCATGTATCAATGTGATATGTTTATTTCTACAATTTTTATTGAATGCTTGATTTCTGATTCTAGATGTATGGTAAAATATTCCTGTTTTTCTAGTGCTATGCTAGCTCATACCCTATACCATTTTTTATTTTTTTTTTGCCAGTGTAAGAATTCCCTCCAGCCTTTGAGCTAATGGCCATGCATACAAAACAGGCTTGTACGTGGGGAGAATTGCTGTTATAAAGAAACTTTCATTACTGAACAGCAACTGGCAAGGAGCAAGCTCTAAGTTTGGGATAATAATTCAACATTCATTTATTAGTTAAGTTTATAATCCAACATTTATTAGTTGAGTTTATAATCCAACTTCTTTTTGCCTTGATTTAATCAAGATTGAGAGCCAGTTTGGTTAAGACACCAGGCTACAACCTAGACTAGAAAGCAAGAGACCGTCAATTCAAAGTTCTGCCTTAACCATGAAAGCCAGTTGGGTTCACTCTCAGCCCAACTCACCCTACAGAGTTGTGGGGGGGAAATAGGATGAAGGTGTGTTGAATATATTACTGCCTTGAGTTATTTGTAAAAATAATAAAAGGCAGGATACAAGCAAATAAATTAAATTTAAGAAAATACTTTAAAATAATATTTAGGATTCTGCTAAAAATAACCTGGTTCTATTTCATACAACACAAATTTTAAATGATATTGCATATCACAACTCCATTATGCAAAAGGACTTTAAAGCATGCAATCCTTCTCCACATATTCCACCATTCTTAAAACTTATTACAATAACAGATACACTTCTGTGAAAACAGAAGCGTGCACTTTTATCCAATTCTGTAAAGCTTCTCTCGGTTCTCTATGCTCCTAATTTTCTTTTCTTTATTCTATATCATTTTTTTAAAAAAATATTAAATGTATTTTCCCAACATATTTAGCATTCATTCAAATACTCTATACTATTGTTTTTTACTTGACAAAACCAAGTAAATTAAACAGTGACTTACTGCAGTGATTTTTTCTGGTTATATTAAATCAACCTTTCTCAAGCTGGGCCCCTCACCCAAAATTTCTACTAGATTCTTAAGCAGCAGGCTCAGGAAGACAATATGAGATGACCCAAAGACAATTTATGTTTGACATAAGCCAAAATGTCTCTAAGTAAGTGATTATCTCCTATACACAGAAAATTCATTAAACCTCTAACAAGTATTATTTAAATAATAAGCAATATTGATAAGAGACACCTGCAAAGAAAGCAAAAAGTAACAGAATTGTCAGAAAGAAATGAACTAAGAGAAAAGTATGTTATGTAAGTGATTCTGCATCAAGTAATCCATGCAATTAAATTGTAGAAATAAATCTAAGGATACATTCATGTGCATATATAGGAATGAAAGCTACATGCAATTAGCAAAGCCACTTGGAATCCTTCCAGATTAAATATATGCTTCCTCAGCAGTATATGTCTGTTTTAGCCTTGAAAACAATTTTATGATTTTTGACTAATTAATTTTGCTCTACTCAAACCAAGTTCAATTTGACTGGAAGCGTCGCGGCGAGACAGTCGGGGAATTAGCGGGCTCTGATGAGCTCCGCGAAAACTCGGACTGACGAACCACCGCTGAGGGGTCTTCGGACCAGAACCGTCCTGTAGGGACAGGGAAGGAGGAGAGGCACCTCGGAAGACCTAGAGGAAGAAGCAAGTTCCTCGAAGGTCGGAGGAATCTCTCCGATTCAGCAGCGGAGGTGGGAGTCATTATGGCTGTCAACTAGCTGGGGCAACCGGAATAAGTATTGAGCAGGAGCGGTGAAGGCAAGGTTTTTGAAGCCGGGTGAGTGATAGCCAACCCACAGGTGAGATAACAACAACATCTAGAAAAAAATTACTTTGAAACCCCCAGCGAAAAATTAGCAGCTAACAGGCACAGGGGAAGAAAAAAGGAAACAAGCGGAATTTAAAGGGATAAAAACCCAAAAAGAAAATTGATTTTGGAATAAAATTAACTGGAAAATTTTATGATTAGAAGAAACAACCCCAAAATTGACTAAAGGATTGGAAATAAATAGATCCTTTCTTGTTGAAAATTACAATTGAATATTAAGGCCTGCAACGGAAGTGCTTTATACCTAAAAAAAAAAAAAAAGAGGGGAAAAGCATTGTTTAAATTGGACTGGATTATAAAACTGATTTGGTACTTTCTAAATTAAAAAGAAGGAAAAAAAGAAGCTAGATTGTTAGCAAAGATTGACACAAAATGGACACTGTTAAACAATTAAGAAGATTGTGGATTTTAAAGAGACATCTTCAGAAGAAAAAAGAACATTGCAATTTGGAATCTTTGTTTTGGAAAACTTTGAATTATATCAGTGATACCTGTGAGAACTTTTGGGGAGGATTGTTTTGTCTATAAGAGGCTTGACTTTGGGGGAAAAAAACAACGGACCTTTTAAATTTGGAACACTAATACAGAAATATTAAAATGGTGCAGGAAATTAGAGAAATGATTGAAATAATGTACTCGTCATGGAAAGCGGACATAAGAGGAATAATTACAATGATACATGCAGAATTGAAACTTGAGGATCCAAAAACAGAGAGAACATATTCAGGCTAACAAGGAAATAAAAACGGAGAAGCAAGACACAGGAACTGAAAATAAAAAAGAAGACAAAGACAATGAGATTAATTTTGGAAAACTAATTGAATGTATGGATAGTAATAATAAAAAGGAGGTTTTTAGAGATTACATTGGGATTAACAATGGAAAAAACAGAAAAAGCAGAAAGAGACAAAGAAGGAGAGAAGGGAGGAATAGAAAGAACATGGAAAATTTAAAGGATCACACTGGGATTAACAGTGAAAAGGGAAAAAATGGAGGAAAAAGATGGGAAACAGGAAATGCAGGGCAAAATAGAAGAGTCCAGATTTGTGAAATACAGAATGATTACACTGGGATAAACAGTGGGATAAATAATGGGGAAATAGGAAAAAGAGAAAAGAGAGAGGAAACAATGGGAAATTTAGGACAAAAGAGGAGAGCACAATATATCAAAGTGCAAGGGAAAAAAGGGGGAAAGAAAAAGGTAAAAATAAAAAGAGGAAGGGAGAAAAAGAAATGAAAGAGAAAACCATATGAATGTAAAAATAAAATGAATAATAACTGGAATATTTGTATTGTATCTTTGAAACGTAGATAATGACAAGTTTTGTTTCTTTTTTTGTTTTATTCTCTTAAGAAATATGAATAAATTTAAACTGTAATAATTGAAATACTTCTAATAATATATGATGGTGAAAGCAGAAAAAAATAAGTTATGGCTTGGATAACAGCTAGAATATTTTTAAAGTTAATTAGGGAAATTGTAAAGTTGAAATATGAATTGTAGTAAAAAATGGAAAATTATATGATTACAAAAATGAAATGAATAATAATTGGAATATTTATATTGTATTTCTTTTTTCTCTTTTCTTTTTTCTTTTAAAAAATATGAATAAGTCTAAATTATTATTATTACTATTATCACTATTACTATTACTATTACTATTATTATTATTATTATTATTATTATTATTTACACTTCTATACCGCTTCATAGTGCTTTACAGCCCTCTCTAAGCGGTTACAAAGTTTACAAAGTTAGCATATAGCATATTGCATATTAGCATATCGCATTAGCATTAGCATATTGCCCCCAACAATCTGGGACCTCGGAAGGATGGAAGGCTGAGTCAACCTTGAGCAGGTGAGATTTGATCTGCTGATCTGCTTAACTAGCAGTCAGCTGAAGTAGCTGCAGTATTGCACTCTAACCACTGCACCACCTCGGCTCTGTAAATTGTAATAATAGATACTCGAATTGAAAATTAACTAGAGAAATGGTAAAGGTTGAAATATTTTTAACTCTTTAAATTTGTAATGTGACGAAAGTAGAAATGATTAATTGTAATAACTGAAATGCAACCAATTGTATACTATGTTGAAAGCAGAAATAGCTAAAATTAATTGATTTGTAAGGAATTGGACTGCCTGGAAATAATTGGAACATACTAAAATGTTGGATTTGTATTATTAAAGGAAATGCATGATATAAAATAAGTGGATTTATTATTATTATAAGAATTAAATTACTGTAACATTACATAATTAAACAAGATGAGGATAGATATACAAATAGATGACAATGGGAAGGGGTAAAATATAGAATAGGAGGAGAAAACTGAATTTGATTAAGATTAGAGATGAGAATGAAGGGTAACATTGGTTCTTAAAAAATAGAATAGAAATAAATATGGCAAAAAGGCAATATAGAAAATGTAAATTTAATTGAAATGGTCTTTTTAAAAAAATAGATGAAACTTAATTGAAATGACTAAATACTGCTTAACCTTATGAACCGGCCGAATACTCTGTTCAAAAAAAAATACATTGTATGTTTGTATGTGTGTTTGTCTAAAAAATAAAAAAAACCTTTTTATATATATATATATATATAAAAAAAACCAAGTTATACAATGTTCAGCTGGCTCTTGAAAGCACATTTTCAGTATTATGTCCTGCAGAAATTTATATCTACTTGCTCAAAACTGAATCCTACAATATTCTGGATTTTCAGATACATTCCATAAATTAGTCGACCCGTGGTTCAAAAATTGTTGCCCTATGATGTACTCTTTTGCCCAGTTAAAGGTAATGGGAACAAGAGTTTTGGTAGTACATACATATAAAAAATTCATTCATACCAAAAGTCAGTTTTCTTTTTTCATTACCATCAGGGCTCACTTATTTCTTGCAGTCCTAATTTCTTATTATTATTCTTATTATGATTGAATTTTCAAAAATGTACCTGTTCAGCATTTTTTATGTTCAACCAACATAATCTTGGTCCATTTTTTCAGCTACCTGGGCTGTGTGGCTAAATTCTCAAAATCTGTAGGTTTCCAGGTACAGTAGTTTTAATAGGAATGC